GCCATATCTGGAGAGATATGGGGACACCCAGGCACTGATCATTGCGTGAACGACTTGAGATGGATATCATGGAAATCCTCAGGCAGATACATGTGAATGCAGTGTTCCCGTAAATTTCATCAAGGATTCAACAACTCCAGACACTGAATTATTCTTCCTCATCATCAAAAAGAAGAAAATCTCATTAACCTATGGACTCTGAATGGAAGAAAAGACTGACTGCTCCAATCTTGGCCTCATGCAGAATTTTTCCTATAAAACCCACTTGTGCCAGGATGGAGGTGTGTGGGCATAGAGGAAAATCTCTGCTGAGGCTGACTTCTTTGTTGCACACCCAGGGCTGACCCCGGGCTCGGCTCTGTTCTTTCCTTGTGGTTAGCTAGATAGAATTTGATTGCAAAAGAAATATTTCATTTTTTCATTTCAATTTGGCTGGACAAATTTTCATTTATAACATGCCTTAAACATCTGTCTCTCTTTTTTAATGTGAATGCAACCAGGCAACCTTTGCATTGCTGACCTGCTTCCCATTGGTATTGATGCAGATCCTACTTGAGTCACAATGAAATGGTTTATATATTTCTGGGCAGCTAATAAATTCTTCAAGATGACAAAAGGCTTAGACCTTTTTAGACCTCATGGGAAGCTTCAGGAGAATTTCCCCATGTATTTGATAGTACCAGTATAAAATTCAAATAACTTGAGGAATTATTTAGTTTGCTTAATATGGTCAGAAAACCATACCAATAAAACTAGGGGTGAAAAGAATCGGGACAGGTAAAAGGTAGAGTTACTGGGAAAGATTAAAAAGCCCAGTTTCTAAATCAGGTTTCCTTCCTGGAGGGAAAACCAGAAAGTAGCTATGATGAGAACAGAAGGAAAAGGAAAGGAAACCATATCCCAGTATTCCAATAATTATTTTTATTTCAACATACTGTATTGTACACCTTTGCGTCTCTGCAGTTGGCAGAAGCTACTTATTAAAAAAAAAAAAAAAAAAAAAAAAAAAAAACTGTAGCAAAAAGGAGTCTCTGCTTGTGACAGTTTTGCAGAGCTCTATCAGCTTTAGTGCATCTGGGCCTGTTTATATTGTAAAGCATTTGCAGTAAGACTGGTGCATTGTGTCCCTCCAAGATAGCACAGCACAAACTTCAGCTTCAGGATCTGGCATGAGCACACAATTACTAATGCTGAGCTTCCAGCAATTAAAGCCACACTCCTGTGTCCAGCAAGTGCTATGATGTACCCTGCTGGTTTCCATTATAATTTAGTGTTAATTAGCGGCCTTGTCCTTCAGCTGTCTTCTTCAGAAGCTAGAAGCAGGATAAGTGAAGTATTTCAATTTAGCCTTTTTTTTCTCCCCTGGTTAGCAAAAATGTAGGGCTTTACTGCAAACTCTGAGTAAATATTCATCATCTTTGTTTTGCAGCTTTCATTTATCTTCAGGTACAAAAAGCCCCATATCAGTTGCAACACTGTTATGGCTGCATACATTTGTAATTTTCTCAATTGCTTTTAGATTGGCTGTTTTTTTGGGTTTTCTTGAGAGAAGTGAAACAAAGTATATTGTTTAACTGTCCAAACATTTAGCTTCAATCTGCTGTGAGACAGTGCTACAAAATTTCTTTGTTGTGCTTGACCTGAGCTGCCTGAGAAGAGCTTCTCCAGCTGGGGCAGAAACATCAAGTAGCAGGAGGCACCTGGGGCAGGAACCTCAAGTTTCTTGAATTATTCAAAATGTAATATTTTTCACTAAAAAGTGCTTTATCAGCATCTCCCAGCTCTCTTAAAATACTCGGCTCTTTTAGTGCCTGAGGCTTTGGCAGCAGCTTCCCTCACTAATGCAGGGCGTGTGCTCAGCTCCCAAGGGAGCAGCTGCAAAAGCTGCTCTGGAAGCATAACAGCTGTAAGGGGACGAGAAACATTGGCCAAGGCCACAGAAACACAACAGACTGCTACTAAGCAAGAAGAACGTTTAGACAAGGTTAAGACCTGAAATGTCTCAGCAACCAGGAAATGAAGAGCCTTTCCTGATTAGTTTGCAAAAGAAACCTGAGCTCTTCCACGCTCCCAATGCGCAGCTTTGGTTGCGACTGAAATCCACAGGGCATGGAGTTCCTGTTGTCTGAAATACTGCTGCACTCCCTGAGCTGGGCAACCTAGGCTGTACTTGGAACCCATGCTAATGATGAAACCGTACACGGAAGTTTAAGGAGTTTCAACAAGCTTTACTTTAATCCCATGCAAATTCCACAAAGACTTAAATCGAATGCATTCTATTTGACAATTACATGCAGAAATCAAGCTGTGTTGCAAGTGATTGTAATGGAGGTATTTCCCAGCTGCTGTTAGGAATGAAATTTGCTTCACCTGGTTTAGTTTATAATCCTATTTTTCAAAATAACTAGGGTAGTTTTCTGCATTTGGTGAGAGATGCTTAAGTTATACCAACATTTTTAGTTACATGTCTTATAGATTGGTCAGACTCCAGAAGTGAATACCCACTGAATGCAGAGGTAGCCAAGATGAAGATCTCTGATTATGAGATATTAGCTCATATTAGATATGAGCTTTTAGACACCTAAAGCCAGATAACCATTCCTAGGGACAGGCATTGCTGATGTGTCTTAAAATGCCAGTTGTAGATAATATTGCTCTTCTGGAACACCTTTTCCTGCTTATTCAGCTGAAGGAACCCAAATGGCTGGAATAGCCTTTTAAAAGATCAAGGCTCTGTAGATGTCCTTTATTTCTATGTAAGCATAGAAGAGAAAAGCTGCTCACAAATGATAGGTAAGGAAAGAGGTTAAAATTATTTATTTATAAGAGCTGTGACTGGTTAGATTTTAGAATAACTCTGAAGCTGTAGATCCAAATGTGTTTACAGAAATGAACTTCAGGTGATTATTTATCCCTATGTTGAAAGTGCTGCATATCACACTCTATACTGTTATTCTGTTCCCAGAATTTTCAGGGATGGAATGAACTGCAAAGGACATATCTCCAAGTAGTGTTCTGATGAAAAAGGGGACATGATGTATTGCTGTTAGAAGAGAGAGTTCATTTAAATATTAATCTGAAGTGCAATTGTTCTTCAAAGCTTCTAACTGCTCATTGAAGCCCAGGAGTGACAGCTTTCTACAGGTTTATATGAGGAGATGTGTGTGCACTCATCTTCAGGGGAGGTCTTCCCAAGTACTTTGGCTGACACAAGAGCTTGTTGATGGGGCAGTGGCACCTGAGTATCCATACAGAGTTCACTTCATATATGCTTTTAATCAGCAATAGCCATTTAAATAATATAGAACTTCTACTGAGTCAGGGATGTAAAATAACTCAAGATTCAAAGCATTTCCCCCTCCTGTAATAGTGAAATTAAAATGTACTTTTATAAGCTAAGTGAATTCTAAAGAGAGTTTTGATGTAGGTGTGTGTAGCAGTTGTGAACTGATTTTCAAAGTACATATTAGACTTTCTGAGTGGATGTTTTAAGTGGGCAGATGAATGCAGTTCAGTACTTACAGTCAATGCAGGCCACTAAAAGTAAGGAACATACCATGGAAAGGAAAGGTGACTTTTATGCCTTTAAAATAAAGGTTTAGAAATGGATTGCAACAAGCAGTCAACATGTCAATATGATGCATCATGCTGAAGTATGACCCATTCCTTCGAGAACAAAGCTTGCAAGGAACTAGAACAGAACAACTTTGTGCAATTTAAACTTTACTTGTAGCGACAAGTTATTACATGCTCTGTTGGTGTAGAAAATGGCATTTTCCTTTGAGCTGTGTTACTTTTAGAGCTATTTGAATAATGGTACACTTATACATCCAAATCAATTTATTAGAATAAGTCCACACTTTTGAAACAAAGCTGACTTGTTTAAACTTGATTAGTTGTGATTGAATTTTATTCTTCCATTTAATGAACACTGTTCAGTCATAGTGTTCAATTGCTAAATTAATTAGCATGTCTGCAATTCTAATTGTGCATATGTCAATCAAAATCAAAGGAAAAAGTGACAAAGAATTTGCTCGGCAAACAAAATAGGCCTATTATAGGAAGTGAAAGTAAATTAAAAATTAAAATGAGGCATATTTATCTACAGTAAGCAGAAGTTATTTTTCTATTTTTTAAACTCTTTTTCAATTAATTATTTGAAGAAATCATGTTTCCATAATTTAAAAAATATTATATAAAAACTCTTTTATACATATTTTGATTGCCAGTCTGTGACAATATGTGCACCATTCCACATCATCTATGTATTAATTTCTGTTACAGCAGGGACACTGTATTCTATTGAAAGGTGAAATTCTAGCATTAAAGGGATGAGCTTAATTCTTAAATATTATATAATAGTATTAACTTATGTATGTTTTGGGGTAGTGAAAGGGAGGAACATCTCAGTTTTTCTCATAAATTACTTAATGAGCATTTTTATCTGAGTAATCTGAATGTTTTTCAAATCTTTTTGTCCTAATTTGATTTCTATTTCATGTAATTAAAAAAAACTGAATTGAGTCCTTTATAAATATACTGCTGTGAGTTCAAAAAGTAACACTCAGATATTCTGTTACTTTGTTCAAGCTGAAATTTTTTCCTCTGTAAATAATTGCATAGAAGGCAAGCAAGATAGTTTGGTTTGAAGGATTTACAAAAGAATAGTACAAATAAAAATTCCTGGCATTTTGCAAAACAGCTTAAGTAATTTACCTTTGCGGCTTTCGGGGGTCACTTGCAGCTGTCCCCCGTCCTTCCCCGGCCCCCCGGGACCCCTCCGGCTAGCTGTCCCCTCAGGGGACCGGGGTTTGCCGCGGTCCCGCTGCACTGGGCTTACCAGACAGCGGCTGGGTTTGCACGGTCCGAGCGGCTGTGCGCCTCGGTCGCCGCAAGGAGTCGAGATAAAGAGACAAAGAGAGGTCAGTTGTATGCAGTCCAGAAAGATTGTATTGCCTGAACAGTTGCAGGGACAAAAGACGCTGGGCTATAGCCCAGATACAGTTTTATACAGCAAAATTAAGAGATAAGGTCTAAACAATAAAGACAGTGTTCAGCATGGGCTCATCAGAACCACCCCAGGGGTCAGGTCCAATGGGAACTGCTCAGGGGTGGGGAGAAGGGGGCTTACAGAAAGGTGCTGAAGCGAAGCTTTCCCGAAACAAAGGGGCATACATAAATGTATCTTTCCCTCATACCTAAATGTATCTTTTCCTCAGCTTCCAATTCCCCAAGGCCTTTCTAAATCCCTTCCTCCACGATACCACGCTAGCGTGATAGCAACATCTCCCTCTTTTTTACTTAATAAGATGAACGGTGCTTTGGGAGAAGGTAAAACTGCGGCTTTTAAACTGCGGTGTCTTTCTGCTTGTCGTCTTCCCACCAATCGCTCTCCGTGACGGCAGCAGCAATGAGAACAGGTGCGGAAGCCTTAGGCTTTGAGGTGATGACCTTGGAGATTATTCGCTTAAGAATCCCAAATGCTAACAAAACTAAAAACAGTGCAGCTAGAAAGTAAAAGATGTCTTTTAAAAGAGACACTGCCCACCCAGAAAGGTCCCAGTCTTTGAACAGATTTTTAAACCAATCCTCATTTTCTTGCTTCACACTCCCAATGAGGCTTCTCATTTCCTGAATGGACGAGTGGACACTCTGGCCTTTAGATGACAGATCAAAACAACACGAACCATCAAACTCTTTACATCCATGACCATGTGCCAACAGCAGGAAATCAATAGCTGCCCGATTTTGGAGGGTAGCCTTTCTGGTTATTTCCTCGTCTTCTAGGAGGTCACCCAGGGCTGCTGATGTTAAATTTGCCTGCTTCGTCACCCAGCATTCCAGATTGCCTAATTCACTCAATGCTTTTGCTGCCGCAACCCATGGTAAAAACACAGAGACAGCAACTCTTTTGGATTTTGCCCAATGGTAAATTTCTGCATCACAATGTTCATCAAATTGACTTGCACTTCGCTTAGTAATTTTTGTCTCACCTTTTGCTCGCCCGATTGGAATTTGGGTCATGTTGGGGGAAGCAAGGGTCAGATGCCCGAAAGTGCATGGACCTCCGATAAGACGAGAGGGGATTCCTGGGTATGCTCTGTCCCCACAGATAAGAAACACTCCCTTGTCCAGCTTGCGGGGACGGAAATCAGTGGTGGATGCAGATTTCAGCTTATAGACAGCTGTGCACCATTGACCCGCCCTGAATTCCACCTTGTACTGTTTGACTTGCTCATATAGTTTTACTTCTTTGGCTGGGGAAAAATCAAATTGAATGCAATATTCAGCTTTTGCAGAGCCCAGGAGTTCTAATTCCTGGGGCTCTCCCTCAGCAGAGGGCAAGTCTAGGATCCACTTTTGCCACAAAATGAGGGGGTTTTGCACTGGTATTTTCCCTACTCCAGGTATTTTATCTTCGTTCACCTGCTTTTGCAAGCGGACCAGACCAATTGGAAACTCATCCCCCTTACTTGGAACCCCTACTAAACATGTGGACATTGGATTTTCTGCTGAGGCAGTAGACAAACACATGTGATCTTGTTTCAAGGCTTGGGCGAGTGTGACCCACACATTTTTCTTGGGCTGTGGAACAATCCACGCGTCCACCGTGCACGGGTAGATGGCCATTGTCTGGAACCAAACGATGAGCAGGAATGTGGAAATTGACATTCTGCTAGTCTGAAAGAAAGATAAAATCATATAACAAGGTAAACTAACTCTGAAAAAGGTACAATTTGCTCTGCCAGTATAAAGGAAAAAGATTCCCCCTGCTCCCACTTTCCCCCTTTGTTAAGGAGGAGGCCCTGCAGACCCCGGAGTCCTCGGGGTTGCTGCTGCTGAAGCAACCACCCTTTCCCGCGGACTTATCACTGAGTCCTCTGTCATTAGTGTAGCTTTTCTCGTGCACTCCTCAATGAGCTGATCGAGTGTGGGTGGAGGCGATGCTGGAAGGGCCAGGATGACTCGCTGACAGGCTTCATTTGCATTTGTGGTGACAATTTCTAGTGTGAGCTGATCTTGGAGCTCTGGATTCTGCACCCTTTTCTCGACTGAAGCTCTCACTCGATCCACAAAATCCATGAATGGCTCTGCAACAGACTGCTTCAAATCGATATAAGAAATGACAGGTTCTTTAGAAGGCATGTTAAAAAATGCACGTTCTGCCGCATCCCTGGACAGGTCTAACACTGGTCTGGGAATGCCTGCTGCTTGCTTCTCAGCTTGGCTCCAATCACCCTCACCCACTAAATGTTCTAAGGTGATTTCCTCATCCTCTATATCTGTGGAATGGGTTGAACTCTGCAAAATTTCTGGAAGGAGGTCTCCTGCAAGCCTTTTCCAAGTTCTTTCCCACAATCTAAATTCAGATTGAGGGAGCAAACAGCTGAAAAGACGTCTCAAATCAGCAGGGACAAAAGTTTTGGAACTTAGAGTAGCTTTTAAAATGCTCTTAAAAAATTCACTCCTTTCTCCAAATTCACGTTTTGTTTTGCAGAGTTCCCTGATACTGTCGTATGAAAGGGGTTCCCATCTGGGATTTTGTCCTCTCGCATTATAAACAACTGGGGCCATGAACAGAGGATCAGTGCCTGTGACTAGTTTCTGTTTCCCGGAGCCGACAGCCCCGGAGCTGGCAGCACCCGCGCTGCCGTTGCCGAGGGAACCGGGAGCGAGAGGGGGGGCGGCTTGTGTGGGAGTGGCCGCAGCTGGAGGGACCGTGTGGAGCAGGGCAGGGGCGGGGGCAGGGGGTGGTGATGGAGCTGCGAGGGGAGGAGCTGAGGGCTGGACCGTGGGCTGAATCGCCGCAAGGGAGGAGGGATTGGGATTGGGGATGGGCAAAGGGAGGGACACGAGGGCTGGGGGTGTGTTCTGGGCTGGCACGGGGAGCAAGGAATTCTGGGAAGGAGAAGGGAATGTCCCGATGCCGCCTCCATCTTGTGGTGGCTGCACGAGGGGGTTGCGGGGTGCAAAGCAAGGATTTTGAGCTGCGGGAGCGGAATCAGGAGATGGAGAAGGGTCAGGAACTGAATCTACATCTGCGCGGTTAGTTTTTTCAAAGCCGGGGACGCGGGGGGTTGCAGGGGACGCGATGTGACCCTTTTCTCTTCCCCGGGCGTCCCGAGTGTCTGCACTCTCTTTCACAAAGTCATAAACGAACAAAAAGATTCTCATAAAACCTTCTTTCACTGAGGGATCTCCTGCCTTTGTCCTTTCACTCAACACTGCACCCACACGCTTCCAAAACTGTCTTTCATTCACATCTTGCTCTGTTACCTCCGAAAAACTTACAGATACCCATTTAACAAACTTTTTCACCAGACTCTCAGGAAGTTTTGCACCTGCTCTCTGCAGGGGTTCTTGAACTTGTTTATAAATCTCTTTCTGCTGTGTAGTCAGCGTAACACCCATCGCTGGCTGCACAGCAAAGTCTCACCCAGCTGCTGCAGCAAAAACCCCAAAGTTCTAAAGACCCGGCGGAGCTCCCGACACGCCTGCGCGCTGGCGTGTCCCCCCTTGGGCACACGGGAGCCTGACTCCAGTCTCCTGGCTGGACCCTTCCCGCCAGTACCGAGACTTACCCACCGCCGTTCTTCAGAAAACACACTGCAGCAACGGTTCCCGACTCCGCAAACAGTCTTCCGGGTGTTTGGAAGGTCCCGTTCGCATCCACGGGCACAGCGCCGGACAGAAATCGGTGCCTGTCCCCGCAGCGGCAGTCCTGCCGGGCTTGTGTGGAAGGGCGAGTGCCCACACCACCAGCGCGGTCCGAGAGCTTCTCCCCGCGGAGCTAACAGCCTGCGTGGCGATTTTTTCGCACCGCTCGCCGCTCTGTCGCTCGCGGCGACACCGATCGCAGTGTCCGGAAAAGCTCCCAACCGGTGCACTGCCCGCGGCGGCCGCGGCGTGTTCGCTCGAACCGGTGCAATGCCCCACGGTGGTGCGCCACTTGCGGCTTTCGGGGGTCACTTGCAGCTGTCCCCCGTCCTTCCCCGGCCCCCCGGGACCCCTCCGGCTAGCTGTCCCCTCAGGGGACCGGGGTTTGCCGCGGTCCCGCTGCACTGGGCTTACCAGACAGCGGCTGGGTTTGCACGGTCCGAGCGGCTGTGCGCCTCGGTCGCCGCAAGGAGTCGAGATAAAGAGACAAAGAGAGGTCAGTTGTATGCAGTCCAGAAAGATTGTATTGCCTGAACAGTTGCAGGGACAAAAGACGCTGGGCTATAGCCCAGATACAGTTTTATACAGCAAAATTAAGAGATAAGGTCTAAACAATAAAGACAGTGTTCAGCATGGGCTCATCAGAACCACCCCAGGGGTCAGGTCCAATGGGAACTGCTCAGGGGTGGGGAGAAGGGGGCTTACAGAAAGGTGCTGAAGCGAAGCTTTCCCGAAACAAAGGGGCATACATAAATGTATCTTTCCCTCATACCTAAATGTATCTTTTCCTCAGCTTCCAATTCCCCAAGGCCTTTCTAAATCCCTTCCTCCACGATACCACGCTAGCGTGATAGCAACAACCTTTTTTAGACTTGGCTACTACAAGCAAGTAGTAAAGGAGGAAATAACATGATTGTGCTGAGCAGCACTAGCTGCAGGAGAGACAAAGGGAGGGTTGTGGAGATGATATATTGCCTCTGAAGCAGCTGAGTGACTGACACTGTCAGTTGTGGTGCCCTATGTCCCTCAAATATCCCTGTTTGCAATAGAGCCATTACAATGTAAATTAGAGTATTCCATTAAATGCTCCGTGTACCCTTTATAATGTCATTGGCAATAACACATACAATTTATATACCACATATGGTTTAATATCCCGTTTCATCCTAGTGAGACATTACACTACAAAAGTCCTCTAAAGTAAATCAAGATTACAAATAGAGAAGATTGAAATAAAGAATCAGAGAGTCTGATGACCACTTGGTATCCAGAAAACCTTACTGGACATATTGCACATGCTGTCGATTTTCCTGAGGACTGAAACTTTTGTATGCCTTCAAAATCCCAAGAGTTTGAAATGAGCTGCAGAGCATAGTGAAGATTTGCTAATGGACTCTGCTCTGATTGATTTGGGTCTGTACTGTCCCAGGCTGGGCTGCTGTCCCATTACTGCACCTTATATGCAGCAGGGCAGCTCTGGAACTGGCCTGATGTCATATGTGGATGTTGTAGGCACCCCTGTAGCAGCCTTGTGTGCACAAATTCCCTGTGCAGCCCTGTTCTGCACAGCATTCACTAGGGATCATGTTTTAAGGATAATGTAACTTCAACAGTGCCGCGGTTGAAGTTACAAACTGACATCAGGAACGTGAACTGGTGAGTTTTCCTTCCCAGAGAAAAGAGCCGATGTTTGTGCTCAGGGTCCTGTGGCCCAGAGTGGAGAGCTGATTGAAAAAAAATATGAACATCGAAGGATAAGTCCCAGACAGAGGCTGCCCCCACCTCCTACTTGTGCTGCCCTGACAGTCCCAGGGGAGTCCTACAAACTGACATCAGGAACCTGGACTGGTGAGTTTTCTTTTCCAGGGAAAAGATCCGATGTGTGCGCTCCGAGTCCTCTGGTCCTGAGTGGGACGCTGATTGCAAAAAATCCGAACATCGAAGGATTTTTTGTCAGGTATCCGCTCAGGGCCAGAGGTCTCGGAGCGCAAACATCGGCTCTGTTCCATGGGAAAGAAAACTCACCAGTCCAGGTTCCTGATTTCAGTTTGTAGGGCTCCCCTGGGACTGTCCCGGCAGCAAAAGTATGAGGGTGGGGCAGTTCCTGTCTGGGACTTATCCTTCGATGTTTGGATTTTTTGCAGTCAGCTGCCCGCTCAGAGCCACAGGACCCTGAGAACAAACATCGGCTGTTTTCCCTGGGAAAGAAAACTCACCAGTCCAGGTTCCTGATGTCAGTTTGTAGGGCTCCCCTGGGACTCTCAGGGCAGCACAAGTATGAGGTGGGGGCTGCTCCTGTCTGGGACTTACCCTTCGATGTTCGGATTTTTTGCAATCAGCGTCCCACTCAGGACCACAGGACTCGGAGTGCACACATCAGCTCTTTTCCCTGGAAAAGAAAACTCACCGGTCCAGGTTCCTGATGTCAGTTTGTAGGACTCCTCTGGGACTGTCAGGGCAGCACAAGTATGAGGTGGGGTGTTGCCTTTATAAAGGACAACCAGAGACCTGGTTCAGGGAACAGCACAGCAGCCTGGTCTCGCCCAGGCTGCTCGGGCTAGTCAACACACGCAGACACCAATATGGCAGACGGTTGAAAAGCGTTTATTATCCTATCTCGTGGGTTTAAATAGTTTTTAGGGGTCTTTGCTACGTCAGAGGGGGGTTGGGGGTCTCAGGGGTTAGTCGGGTAGTGGAAATTTACCAGAGCGGGTGTGGCTACATTCTTCTGGGGCTTCAGGGGTTAATAGATAAGTGGGGAAGAGAGAGGGGGAGGGGTCTATCTTTCCGTGACATCCCATGGTGGTCTTCCGCTCCGCCTGTCCCTATCTACCACATCTCCCCCCTCCTTATCACATACAAAATGAGGTAGTCGTAGGTATAGGCACTGGAGTGAGGTACAAACTTGTGACTTGTTAAGGAAAGGGTGGTTTAGTAGATCTGGGTAGATTTTTCAAGGCAGGTGCTGAAGGCTTTAGCTACTGACTGTGTTTGCAGTTTTTTGGTTTATAGCATTTGTTGGTGGCCTATGAACAGAATGTTTGCCCTTTCCAGACAGGCCTGAACAAACGAGACTAGTTTGTTCAGCAGGCATGGTCCTATGGTAATAGCCAAAAGAAGTATTGCCAGTGGACCTACCAGGGCGGAAATTAAAGTGGTGAGCCAAGGTGATTGATTGAACCAGGATTCAAACCAGCTCTGCTGGGTCTCCCTGTCTCTCTTTCTCTGAGCCAGTCTGTCTCGGAGTTCTGCCATGGAGTCTTTAACGACTCCCGTATGATCTGCATAAAAGCAGCATTCTTCCTTCAAAGCTGCACACAATCCCCCCTGCTGCATAAACAAAAGGTTCAGACCTCGCCTATTTTGTAAAACTACTTCTGAAAGCGAAGAGACTGATTTCTCTAGGTAGGAGATGGATTTCTCGATCCTCTGCAGGTCCTCGTCGATGGTCATTTGCAGCTGAGAGAGTCCGTGCTGTTGGGTTGCGATGGCTGAGACACCTGTGGCTGTGCCAGCTGCTCCCAGGCCGAGCAGCATCGCGATAGTTATACCTGTGATGATTTCCCTTTTGTGGAGTCTGTTAGGTTCTTCGAGAAGATGGTATATCTCTTCGTCTGAGTGATACAATACCCTGGGGACAATCAGAACTTGAATACAGAAATCAGTAGAGTCATTGAATTTGGCAAGGAACACACAAGGACTCACTCCGGACCTTTGGCAGACCTACATCCCAGACGCAGATGGGATCACCCACTTGTTAGTTTTTCTGTTGGGTTTGACAACTTTAATGCAGAAGTTGCTTCTCTGTTTTGCTAAGGTCGCATTGCTAGAACATCTGCCCTGTCCTGTGATTTGACTCAGGGTGATTTCTCTGGAGGGAGTGTCCCATCTGCACTGGTGGGGGGCACTGGCTGTGGAGTAACTGAAGGGGGTATTTAAAGCAATGCCTTCGTAGAAAAGTGGGTTTAACATCATAGCAAAACTAATAGGGGTTAGTCAGGTTTGATTTGGTTTTATTTAGGGTTAGTAAGGTAGCTTCTAAACAGGCTGGCTATGTGGAACACGAAGGATGGGGTATTTATTATGGTGACTTTTTTGAGCACTTTGTTACTTGATAGATGCTGCACGACCCACCTAAATAGCTGATGAGGGTAGTGGCCTGGGCCAGCTTGTTCCCCTGGCCACAAGCCTCTAAACAGCAAAATTGCATGAAGAAAGACACTGTGCATGTTTGGATCTCACCGCCGTGGGAGGCTCAGGTTTTGTCTGGTGGCTTGGTGGTCCGTCATCTCTCTCTGGAGCAAGGGTGTCTGTGTTACGGGGATGGTTCACCAGCGTGTCCTGCAAATAAGACTCACAGCTCTTATTAGTTTTGTTTTGAGGGTCAGGTTTGGTTGGTAGCAGTGGGTGTGCAGCAGTGGCTCTCATAGTCTCACCACATGGGGGTCCCGACTGCCACAGAGGCAGCACGTCTCCTACATCCCCGGGGGCTTTCTCTCCACTTTCATGGTCAGGGTTACCCCGGGGTCCCGTATCGGGGCGTCTCCTGCTGATTCTGCGGCACGGGCGCTGCTTGCGGAGCGAGGAGGCTGGGTTCGCCCGCGCGGACCCCCTCCCCCCCCCCCCCCCCCCCGTTCCGTGTTTCCGGGGGCTGGGACCCGCATTCTTTAGCGATTGTGACTGCTTTTCGGTGCGGCTTAGAACTCTATTTGGTTTTGTTTTAAACTGTGCTGGTTCTGTATCTTTTGTTTTGGGGTCCCGGTCAGCCTCCGCTGGCTCCTCTGAGCCGGCAGAGTTGTTGCCAGGCTCTGCGGCGGAAGTCAAATGCCAGCGTACTTCCGGGGCTCCGCGCCGTTTTGTCCAGCCCCGAGCTCGCTCCTCCCCATGGGGGTGGCGCCGCTCCCGCCCCCCCGGCTCGCCGCGCCCCTCGCGGGAGGTGGTTTCTCCCTTATATGGTGGCAGCTTCAGACGGGGCCGCTGGTTGGCTCCGCGCTCTGTGCCGCTCTCCGCCCCCTTCTCCCGCGCGCGCGCATTCCTGAGATCGCGCGCTTCCCAGGTTTTCGCGCCGGGAACGCCTACGCCCCGCCCCTCTCTGCCGCTCCCGGCGCCATGTTCAAAGGGATAGGGGGGCGGCATGGCGGCCCCGTCCTCCCAAGCTGCGGTTTCGGCAGCTCGGGCTTCTTTCGCCAGCCCTTGCCAGAAGCGCTCCGCGTGCTGTTGCGTCTCCGACAGCGGATCGCGGGCCGGCGGTGGCAGCGGGACGGAGGAATTTGCGGTCTCTCGGGGGGTTTGAGCGGTGAGGGAGGGGTTTTTGGGGATTTTCGGTGGCGGGGGTGTCGCGGGGGGTTTCTGCGGGGGGGGGGTGGGCTCTGATCTGGGGGAGCGGGTGTCGCGCTGAGCCCCCCCGGGTCCCCGCCGCCTGGCGAATCGCTCTCAGGGGCAGTCTGCGTTCCCGCCCCCACACCGAGTTTGGGAGTAACTAATAAACACGTGCGCGCCGCGGTCCATGTCTCCTGCTCTTCTATCGCTTTG